CAACCAATTCTTTTTGGTACACTGACCCTGTGTATTTTTGCATATGGACATCCAATTATTCTTGCACCTTTTGTTGAAAACACTATCATTTCTCCATTGAATTGTCTGAGTTTCTTTGTCAAAGATCATTTGACAAAAATGTTGATTTGGTGAATGTTGCATTCTTTATATTTTTACAACATTAAAAATGTTTTAAAAAAGATCAGTTGACTATATTTTTGTGCATCTGTTTCCAGGCTTTCTATTCTGTTCCATTGATCTATGTGCCTATTCTTTCAGCAATACCACCTTGTCTTGATTATTATAGCTTTATAGTAAGTCTTAAAATCTTACTATTGTGAGTTGGAAGATGTTCTTTATCACGTTGAGGAAGTTCCCCTCTATTCCAAGTTTTCTGAGAGTCATTGTCATGAGTGGATGTTGGGTTTTGTCAAGTGCATTTTCTGCATTGATTGATGTGATCATAAGATTTTTCTTCTTTAGCATGTTGAAGTGGTGGATTATAATTATTTATTTTCCAATGTTGAACTTTGCATACTTGGGATAAATTCCACTTGGTTGTGGTATATAATTCTTTTTATACATTGTTGGATTCAATTTGTTAATGTTTTGTTGAGTATTCTTGTATTTACGGTCATGAGAGATATTGGTTTGTAGTTTTTCTTTCTTCTAATGTTTTGTAATGTCATTACTGAGTAATGCTGGTCTCATAGAAAGAATTAAGAAGTGTTCTGTCTGCTTCTATTTTCTGGAAGAAGTTCTCGAAAATGGGTAAAATTTCTTCCTTAAATGTTCGGTAGAATTCACCAGTGAAACTATCTGGGCCTGGTGCTTTCTGTTTTGGAAGGTTATGAATTACTGATTTAATTTCTTTAATAAATATAGATCTATTGAGATTATCCATTTCACCTTGTGTAAGTTTTGTTAGTTTGTGTCTTTCAAGTCTAACTTTTTAAATTTGTAGGCATCGAATTGAAGGAAATACTTTTAAAAAGTTTAATTAGCATAACTGGTGAATAGTGTTTTTTTTTTCATTTTTTCACTACAAATCTGTTGTAAACCATGTAGGCAATATTATTCATAATCTTTTTTACCTACAAGTGAAATTAAGATTTCTCTTTGAAACAGTACAACTTCATCCTGGTATATCATGGAAAATATGGAATATTTGTTTTCTGTTTGATAAATAATTTGAACTCTGATGTTTTCTTCTGTGTACTACTGAATTGTGTGTGTGTGTGTGTGTGTGTGTGTGTGTGTATCACTCTTTCAATGTTCAGAAGAGAATGAGAATTGTAAAAAAATAACTGATATTTATTGAATGTTTACTACATGTTAGAGACTCTTTTAAGCACTGGCATAAAATATCTCATTTAATACTAAAAATAACTCAATAAGATAAATCCTATTATCATTCTCATTTTACGGATGTGGAAACTGAGGCAAGAGAAATTAAGTAACTGGCCCATGGTTACATAGCTGGTAAGTGAAGGAGCCAGGATCTGAACCCAGATAACTGCTCTACACTACTAGGTAAACTGAGCATAAAATATTAAATAACATGAATAATCCTATTTAGCATCTTAATCTGTCTGTGAAATATTACCTAAGAATTTTTTAATTTGTGATATTATTTTTTACTGTAGTGATTTTAGTCTAACTAAGCACCTAAGAATTTTTTAATTTGTGATTTTTTTACTGTAGTGATTTTAGTCTAACTAAGCTTAAATTCTGAAACTAGTCAGGTAGAAATTATTGTTCATTATTTTCAAACATGACAGAAAGAAGGGGTGTCTTGGAAGAGAAAGAAAAGAGGCAGAGAGGGCTCTCTCTCATCTCATTCTTGCATATCCTTGCTCATGACAGGAAGCAGTGTCTAAAATATTTATAAGTGCTTGGTGTAGAGTCTTTCCTTCCTATAATCCAACTCTGACCGAAACTGTGCAAGAAAATCCAGAGAGGGGACACATGCTTTGCATATCACAGTAGGAAAGGTTTGTAAATGCTCTGTAAATTGACAGCATAATAGCATTTGACATACTTTATAATTGTAAGCATTTTAACTAAATTTCCAAATTTATGATAAGACAGGTTGTCTTTTTACTTTAAAATATTTTATGTGGTACAGATTTATGAAGTTTTAAAAGATCATTTTATTAGTTGATTGTAAAAGCTCATCGTAAATTCAAAAACCAAGTAGCCTTAAAACATTCAGAAATTAATCTTTTACATTTTTATTTTAGCCCAATTATTGTGGCAAGTGTGGATATTCCATGTGGAATTTTGAATCTGATATAATTTACCATGCTTCAACCAAAGCTGGATAATAAAATGAATAGCTTCATAAATGAAATAAGGAAAAGAGGGAAAGACTGCATATAGAAATGATACCAAGATGATAAAATAGTGAAAAAGAATTATGCCTTCCAGAATAACCAAAAATATACTCAGAGGCATGGCAAAGGAAAAGAAAGAAAAGAAAAAGGAAAAAAGAAAGTTTAATAGTAAAAACTTAAACATCTGCTAATCCTAAAGTTATAATAAAACAAATAATTGTAGGTCCATACTTAATAGCTGACATATATTAAAGTGCTCACTGCTGACATATTTAAAAACATGTTACTGGCTGTCATTTCACCACGTGGTATTCACCCTAATTTCTCATAATTAAATATTCTTACTTATGTGAACCCAGATTAATAATAACAGCATTGTGTATGACAAAACTAAACACAGGAAACACCTGCAGTACAATATTAGTTTCTGTAGGGAAGTGAAATCATTTATCATAAATTTATTGAAAAGAACTCAAGATGATGATTTATATATTTTTAAAGCATAAAAAATTCTTACCTAAAGCTTTCATACACCAGACTGTCTTATTCCAAATGGCTGGCCGTGTTCTAATGCACTTATTGTTTGATGTAAATTCAACCTCCACAGTATCAGCAATTACTCCATCTCTCAAAATAATGAATATTTCACCAGGATTCTACAAGATTAAAAATGCAACCCAATTAAGCATTTGAGAAAATTTACATTAACCAAAGAACCTATTACATTTATTAATAATAAAAGTCACACATTATTGAATTAAGTCTTCTATTGGGTTTGTATTTTCCATACTGAAATGAGATATGCCGATGTGATTCTCACATGTTAAATTTATCAATTTAGTGTTTACTGAACACTCAATCTCTCCCATATTGTAGTTTGCCACTGCCCCTGTTTCTATGCTATGAGACTGTATTACAGGTTAAAAAAATGTATTAAGAGTCTTATTTTATAGCAGAAAATTTCAAGTATATTTCATTAGAAATAAATGTAATAGGTTCTGAGAAAAAAAAGTTTGTCAGCAGGCAGGAAAATGACATTTTTCAGTGTCCTAAAGAAACTAAAATTGCAAAGTGTATTTTTTGAAGGAAAGCTAAATGACATGTCTCTCAACAAAAGGGAAGGAGTTCACTATTAGATGTTTCTGGGAATTATCTGGTGAAAATACCAACTCTAGAGTGTTGCATGGAACAGTAAAACCCAGAACAGGGCACCCTAACAGGTACAGTACTTAGGGTGCTGGGAGATTCCATTTTCCCTCGTGGACACCAATGCACACTGGAGTTCCCAGGAATGAATGATGTCTCCTGGGTCAAGAATTTCTTTCCCACTAAGGGCTGGAAAGAACTGTGATTAGGTGTTTCCCAAATTAGGTTACCACAGTGATCAGAAGAGGAATAATGTTCAGAGCTGTTATCAAATCATATACAAGTCAATACTGGCATGGCTCATATAAAACTCAGATAATATTTCAGTGAAAATCTTAAGATAAACTGTAACCAAGAATATGCAGTTGTTTTCACATTCTTTTACCACGTTCTAGAAAGGAGCTGATTTGGAGGTTTCTTTCTGAATACATAGTACACATTAGTTCCACTCAAGTTAGTTCTCATCACTTATGTTCAGAATTTTATAATTTAAAGGGAAAAAATGCAGAAACAAATCTTATAATCCAAGAATTGGATGCTAAGTGGTTCTCCATGACCTAATATTATAGGACACTAAATGATTATAATTCCTATCCTCAATATTTTAGACTTGAGGAAGAAAATAAATAAAAAGTTTGCTCTTAAAATGTTTGCTATTAAGAATGATGATGTACAATTGTTTTACATTTAATTGTTTTATCCCTTTTGTTTTCAATATAACTTGGTATTGAGCAATGGTCAACTTTAAAAATCAAGTTTTAAACAACATGACTTAATTCAGTCTTACAAAATTCTACTTTTTCTACCTATTGCTTCTCTTTAATAAATACTATAGAATCATCTCATCTCCTTTTATCTTGTTTTTTGTTTTCTTTCTCTTCCTATTACCTATTCTGCCCATTCAAAATCCAAGGGATTGATCCCACAATGCATGGAATTAATGCCAAATGCAAATGGACCAAACTGTTTTTAATTTCTCACTTAAACTTACCAAGGCGGCAAGTATCTCTGGTAATGCTGGTGAAAGTCGTTCTGGATTTGCTGTATCTGCTTTATATCATTCATTAAATAAAACTATTCTCAGAACCTATGTGGTGAAAACTTTATTATTTGCTTAGTCCATGCTTTGAAATTTTGTATATTTTTAAGGTGCACTGTAAACAATATAAAATAATTCTAGTTACAGCAGCTACTTTGACCGCTATCTACTGCTTCAAAGTAAATAGTCCATTCCCTTTGTGTGCAGAAGCACCTTTTGGACTAGCCCCACAAGAAAAGGACTGAATAAACCTGAAGAAAACAGAAATATGTATTATTCCTATCTTGCCATGAAAAGTCAGCAATAAGTAGAAAAGCTTAGATCTGCAGTTATACAAGGAAGGCTTAGAGTAGTCACAAAGCTGCCCAAACAGGAATGATCCCTGGTAAGTATGGAATCAGAATCCTTCAGCAGGTGGTACCACAATTCTAAGAAAATATTGGCAAAATTGTTCAAAGGGTTTGGTAGGTTTAGTCTGTTTCTGAAATAAACCTAAATTCTCACATGTAAATTCTTGCTCTAAATGGAACAAGCACTGGATGAGGGGGGTAATAGGCTAGGAATTTAGTTTTGAATCTGTTATTTTCTAGCAGTAAGTTCTAATAAGAGCTACTTTACTTACAATCTTCTATTTCCTCATCTGTTATATTCAGATTAAAACATCCAGTCTGTGATTTTTTTTTAAATGAGACAATGTTTATAAAAGCATTGTGAAAATTGTACTAAAGAATTTGTTGTTATTTATATCTGTTAAGAAATATTTATATGAGTGACTGGTTTATATTTATAGTTCTGTGTCATTAGCCCAGTGCCCTGTATATGAGTCAAAGAAATGCTGAATTGCTAAAACACATACATCGCTGTTAGTTACCGTCCAGTCAGTTCTGACTCATAGCGATCCTATGTACAACAGAACAAAACACTGCCTGGTCCTGTGCCATCCTCACAATCATTGCTATGCTTGAGCCCACTGCTGCAACCATTGTGTCAATCCATCTCAAGGTCTTCCTCTTTTTTGCTGATCCTCTACTTTACCAACCATGATGTCTTTCTCCAGGGACTGGTCCCTCCTGATAACACGTCCAAAGTATATGAGACAAAGTCTCACCATCCTCACTTCCAAGGAGCACTCTGGCTATATTTCTTCCAAAACAGACTTGCTCGTTCTTTTGGCAGTCCATGGTATATTCAACATTCTTCACCAACACCATCAATTCTTCTTCGGTGTTCCTTATTCACTGTCCAGTTTTCACATGCATGTGAGGCGATTGAAAATACCATGGCTTGGGTCAGACGCACCTTAGTCCTCAAAGTAACACCTTAGCTTTTCAACACCAAAGAAGTCTTCTGCAGCATATATGAACACATACATGATGGACTATAAATAGATACCTATGAATTCTAATTATTATATATGTAAAAAGATTTTTCTCACAAGTAGTGTGATTCACTAAAAAAAGTACCAGCTACTGAATCCAGAACACTGGTAATTACACCATTTATTTCTTTTCCCAAAGTAAAAAAAAAAAAGAAAAGAAAATCCTTACAACTGGACCAATAAACAACATCATGATAAATGGCGAAGAAATTGAAGATGTCAAAGATTTTATTCTTCTTGGATCAACAATCAATGCCCATGGAAGCAGCAGTCAAGAAATCAAACAACATATTGCATTGGACAAATCTTCTGCAAAAGACCTCTTTAAAGTATTAAAAAACAAAGAAGTCACTTTGATGACTAAGGTGCACCTGACCCAAGTCTTGTTATTTTCAATCGTTTCATATGCATGCTAAAGATGAACAACAACAACAAAAAAGACCAAAGAAGAACCGACATACTTGAATTGTGGTGTTGGTGAAGAATATGGAATATACCATGGACCGCCTGAAGAATGAACAAAGCTGTCTTGGAAGAAGTACAGCCAGAATGCTCCTTAGAAGCCAGGATGGCAAGACTTTGTCTCATATACTTTGGACATGTCATCAGGGGATCCATTGCTGGAGAAAGACATTAAGCTTTGTAAAGTTTAAACAATCAGCAAAAAGGAGGAAGATCCTCAACGAGATGTACTGACACAGTGGCTGCAACAATGGACTCAAACAGCTACGTAAATTATAAAGATAGCACAGGACTGAGTAATGTTTTTTTCTGTTATGCATGGGGTTGCTATGAGTTAGAGCCAACTACACCGCACCTAACAACAACAACAAACATAGAAAACACAGTGAGAACATAGCTTCTCCTTTTTCCTCTCTGCCTCCTCCTTGTAGGTGTGGCTCCCTGTCTCAGGGTAATAGCATCAATTCACAGACCTCCTGGGGGCTCTAATTCAATTGTTTACCAAGTCCTATTTCCAAGTCCTTTTCCTCAATCTTTCTAGAACTTGGTTAATTAATCTATAAAATTACAGGATTGAACAAATTTAGCTTTAAATCTCTTATAATTCAAATACGATTTTTTAAAACACCTCAATGATTTTAAATCTTACATAATAGAGGTTCTCTGTATTTACGAAGAACAACTAGATATGAGTATCTGTGAAGGGTCTGAAGTGACTAAAGGTTATTAATCTGAAAGTTTCAAGATTTATTTAAGATAGAAAAGCTTAATCTGTGTACATAAGTGAAAAGGGTTATTGAAAGCCTCTTCTTGGAAAAACTCTAGGAAAAATATATGGGTAAGAATATTGGAGTTAATATAGAGAAAAGGAAGGAGTAAATATTTATTGAGCATGTATTTTACATTAGTAATTATACTAAGAACTCTCTATATAAAGATATTTCCTTTAAGCCTGACCAAAACACATACACCCCAAACCAAAATCGAGAAAGCTATTATTTTCCTCTTTTATGAACAGAGCAAGAAATACACAGAGTGCATTCTGAAGATTAATCTAGAGTATCTAACTTCAAAAGCTTCATTCTTCTTTAAATCATGCTGTTTTACTCTTCAAAATAACTAAAATAAACTATCCTTTTATGATTATCTCAGATATCACCTTTCAAAGGTTTTCTTCAAAGTCAAACTAAATTTCAGTCCCCAACTAAATAAACAGAAACCTCATTAATATACTCTTATAAAGTCATATTTATCTAAAAGCCATTAATTTCAAAGTTTTCTCATTTAAACAGTATCTCTGTAAGCATGAATTACCTGCAAAAAAAAAAAAAAAACTTATGTCTTTAACGTTCTGTAACAAAGAATTTCTAACAATACCATGTTGATATTACAAAATCATTTCAGCGGACACAAAAGTCCACTTCAAGAATTTTCCACCAGAGCCTAATGCTCCCAAATATTTGTCCACAGTTTATTTTTAATTAAATTTCACCTCACTAGTTAAATCTCACATGGAGAAAATATTTCATCTAAAGGGAACTATTATACCTTTCGCTCTTGGTCTACACATCCAACATGTCAGAAATGTTTTCCTCTTTTCTTCCCTGTACCTCTTGAATGTACTGCTTCCT